AGTTGTAATAAACATGGTAGTAGTGACTTAGACACAGTTGTAACAAACATGGTAGTAGTGACTTAGACACGGTTGTAACAAACATGGTAGTAGTGGCTTAAACTCAGTTGTAATAAACATGGTAGTAGTGACTTAGACACAGTTGTAACAAACATGGTAGTAGTGACTTAGACGCAGTTGTAACAAACATGGTAGTAGTGACTTAGACACGGTTGTAACACACATGGTAGTAGTGGCTTAAACTCAGTTGTAACAAACATGATAGTAGTGACTTAGACACGGTTGTAACAAACATGGTAGTAGTGGCTTAAACTCAGTTGTAACAAACATGGTAGTAGTGACTTAGACACAGTTGTAACAAACATGGTAGTAGTGACTTAGACACGGTTGTAACACACATGGTAGTAGTGGCTTAAACACAGTTGTAACAAACATGGTAGAAGTGGCTTAAACTCAGTTGTAACAAACATGGTAGAAGTGACTTAGACACGGTTGTAACAAACATGGTAGTAGTGACTTAGACACAGTTGTAACAAACATGATAGTAATGGCTTAGACTCACTTGTAACAAACATGGTAGTAGTGACTTAGACACAGTTGTAACAAACATGGTAGTAATGGTTTAAACTCAGTTGTAACAAACATGGTAGTAATGGCTTAAACTCAGTTGTAACAAACATGGTAGTAATGGCTTAGATCCAGCTGTAACAAACATGGTAGTAATGGCTTAAACTTAGTTGTAACAAACATGGTAGTAGTGACTTAGACACAGTTGTAACAAACATGGTAGAAGTGGCTTAAACTCAGTTGTAACAAACATGGTAGTAATGGCTTAGACACGGTTGTAATAAACATGATAGTAATGGCTTAGACACGGTTGTAACAAACATGGTAGTAATGGCTTAGACACAGCTGTAAGAAACATGGTAGTAATGGCTTATACTCGGTTTTAACTAACGTCGTACTAATATCCTAGACGCGATTTTTATGAAAAATGACAAAATTGATTAGGCTAAGTTTAACATATATGATCAATCGAAAGCCTTTGCGTGTAAGAAATGAAAACTGCGTATTTGGATCTTACATTTGTATTTTATTAACAAAATCTAAAATTAATTATTCATATAAAGATAAGGTACTTTTGTCATTACTTAGAGATTACAGTATTTTCATAAAAGTACTTTTTATTTTGTCTGTAATCTGTACAACAATACTTTACTTTGTATGTAAACTAACCACCTGTACAACAATACTTTACTTTGTCTGTAAACTAACCACCTGTACAACAATACTTTACTTTGTCTGTAAACTAACCATCTGTACAACAATATTTTACTTTGTCTGTAAACTAACCGTCTGTACAACAATACTTTACTTTGTATGTAAACTAATCACCTGTACAACAATACTTTACTTTGTCTGTAAATTAACCATCTGTACAACAATACTTTACTTTGTCTGTAAACTAACCGTCTGTAAGATGGTTAGTTTAGAGACAAAGTAAAGTATTGTTGTACAGACGGTTAGTTTACAGACAAAGTAAAATATTGTTGTACAGGTGATTAGTTTACATACAAAGTAAAGTATTGTTGTACAGACGGTTAGTTTACAGACAAAGTAAAATATTGTTGTACAGATGGTTAGTTTACAGACAAAGTAAAGTATTGTTGAGTTTACAGACAAAGTAAAGTATTGTTGTACATACTTTACTTTGTCTGAAACTAACCATCTGTACAACAATGCTTTACTTTGTCTGTAAACTAACCATCGGTACAACAATACTTTACTTTGTCTGTAATCTAACCATCTGTTCAACAATACTTTACTTTGTATGTAAACTAACCACCTGTACAACAATACATTACTTTGTCTGTAAACTATACTTTACTTTGTCTGTAAACTAATCATCTGTACAACAATACTTTACTTTTGTCTGTAAACTAACCATCTGTACAACAATACTTTACTTTGTCTGTAAACTAACCATCGGTACAACAATACTTTACTTTGTCTGTAATCTAACCATCTGTTCAACAATACTTTACTTTGTATGTAAACTAACCATCTGTACGACAATACTTTACTTTGCTGAAACTAACCATTTGTACAACAATACTTTATTTTGTCTGTAAACTAACCATCTGTATAACAATAGTTACAAATATTACTTTTTTACGTGTTTTTATTCTCCTTTGTTTTTCAGAGTAAAACTATTTGATAGTGAGCTTTTCCTTATTTTACTTTCCTAATTACTTTAAAATACCAGTTTTACCAAAACGTATTTTTATTTCATTTCACCCATTAATTTACTCATAAACAATTTACTTTCATTTCAGAATACTCATAACCCGAGCATTCTTTATGAACTACTATCTGGAGTACCCGTCTGTTGAACGGGTGAAATAAAAATTCGTTTATAACAGAGGAGAGGAAATTGTGCTTCTATTTTTTGTTTTGTTAACATAATAAACATCAAAAGTGCAATAAAAATACATAACGGTACCAATACTGAAAAGAATGGCATACTGTTTTTAAGAATTATATCAATATGAAATTAGATGGGGGGGGGGGGGTCCAAACCCCCTCATGTCATCATCTGTTACTGTGTCAAGTTTGGTGCTGATCGATCAAGAAATGTGGAAACGTATAAGGAACAGATGGCTGAAATGTACGAACAAACAGACACAAACTTGGCTTTATAAATTAGATTTAATTACGTGATATTATTTCTTCAAATACTTTTAGACACCTCTAACTATTTGCTTAACTTACACCGTTCCTATAAAGTCATTTTAGGCACCTTTAAGTGTTTGCTGTTCTTATAAAGTAATTTTAATAGTTCTTGTTAACAGTACAGTATTCTATATAATACAGTATTCCTATAATGTAGCTTATTCTACATTGTTAATAAAGGATTTGTTTGTATTACTGTATTCGTATAAGGTAGTTTATTCTACGTTGTTGATAAAGTATTTGTTTGTATTACTGTATTCGTATAATGTAGCTTATTCTACGTTGTTAATAAAGGATTTGTTTGTATTACTGTATTCGTATAAGGTAGCTTATTCTACGTTGTTAATAAAGTATTTGTTTGTATTACTGTATTCGTATAAGGTAGCTTATTCTACGTTGTTAATAAAGGATTTGTTTGTATTACTGTATTCGTATAAGGTAGCTTATTCTACGTTGTTAATAAAGTATTTGTTTGTATTACTGTATTCGTATAAGGTAGCTTATTCTACATTGTTAATAAAGTATTTGTTTGTATTACTGTATTCGTATAAGGTAGCTTATTCTACGTTGTTAATAAA